TAAAGAAATTGTTACCAGGCACGGTGTTCCATTGTCTATTATTTCTGATAGAGATAGTCGGTTTACTTCCAAGTTCTGGGAAGGACTACAAAAAGCTTTAGGATCTGAAATTCGATTAAGTACAGCTTATCATCCGCAAACAGATGGGCAATGTGAAAGAACTATCCAGACTCTCGAAGATATGTTAAGATGTTGTATTATTAATTTCGGGGGATCATGGGAAGATCACTTGCCATTGATAGAGTTTGCATATAACAATAGTTACCATTCCAGCATCCAAGCAACACCGTATGAAGTATTGTATGGACGTAAATGTCGAACACCATTGTGTTGGAATGAGGTGGGTGAAAAACAACTGACAGGTCCTGAAATTGTCCAAGAAACTTCTGAAAAGATCGAACAGATCCGTAAGAAAATCAAAACTGCACAAGATCGCCAGAAAAGTTATGCAGATAATCGTCGAAAGCCGATTGAATTTAATATAGGTGATTTTGTGATGTTAAAAGTTTCGCCATGGAAGGGTGTTGTCAAATTTGGAAGGAAAGGAAAGTTCAGTGCAAGGTATGTAGGGCCGTTCAGAGTATGTAAACGAATTGGGCCAGTAGCATATCAATTAGAGCTACCAGAAGAACTGAGTCTAATTCACAACACTTTTCATGTGTCGAATCTGCGGAAATGTTTGGCTAATCCGAATCTAGCTATACCGATGCCAGAGATTGAATTAGACAGTAAACTGAATTTTGTGGAAACACCGGAAGCTATAATTGATCAAAAGATCAAAGTGTTGAAAAACAAAGAAATCAGTCTGGTAAAGGTTCAGTGGAAGTTTCACAAGGGACCAGAAGCWACATGRGAATYGGAATCAAAGATGAGATCAGAATACCCATGGCTTTTTGATTAAAGGAATTCCGGGACGAAATTCTTCTGAAGGGGTGGATAATGTGATAACTGGGTCCACGTTATCACCCAAGGTATTTATTATGTGAATTAATTGTTTATGTGGATACGTGTTTACGTAAATTTAAGAAATGATTATGTGTATTTTTATGCGTAGGGATATATGCATAATGTAAATATATATATATATATATGTGTGTGTGTGTTTAATATATATATATATATATATATATATATATATATATGTGTGTGTGTGTGTGTGTGTGTGTGTGTGTGCGCATGAAGTATGTATGTGTGCATGAGGTGGAATGTGTAGGTGCATGAGGTGGATGTGTAGGATGCATGAGGTGGGAAGTGTAGAATGCATGAGAAGGTGTAGCCAATTTATTTTTCTTATTTTTTTTTTAATTTTGGAGAGTATATAAAGGGGGTGAAGCCCCTCCCTCTCCTACTTTTTCTTCTTCTGTTTATTTTTTTTCTCTGAAAAAAAAGTTGAGTGTTTTAAGAAGAAGAATTGATCAGATTTCAAAAGGGTTGATTTCAAGTGTTTTGGTTTCAAAAGGCTTGTTAAGGTGAGTGGTTTCTAAACCTTTTTGGCATAAAAATTTATATTGGTTTTTAGTTGAATGTTATTTATTATTTGAATCAAAAACCATATATTGTGTTTAAAGTTTTATCCGGACAAAGAGTGACCGGATTAGTGTTAAACCGGACAAGAGTGACCGGATTAGTGTTAAACCGGACAAGAGTGACCGGATTAGTGTTAAGTCGGACAAAGGATGAATAACGTGTTGTCCGGATTGTTTTAAATCGGACAAAGGTTGGACGGAGTGTTGTCCGGATTTGTTATCCGGACAAAGATGATTTTATGTCTAAGTGTTTAATCGTTCAAGCTTTATGCGGGGTATTGACCGGATTTGTTATCCGGACAAATATGTTAGAGTTTATTTTAAGTATAAATCGGTCAAGAGGGATAAGTTGTCCGGACTTTATATCCGGATAACTTGTCTGGATAATTTCATGCTTGAAAAGTTTTCAAGTTTTATTTATTTATTTATATAATTTTAATGTTTATTTATTTATGATTTATAAAATAGTTATTTTATGTATTTTCAAATAAAATGATATGTTCCTACCAAGCGTGGTGACGTAAGTCTGTTTTGGTATTGGAACGAGATTTTGGAAAAATGTGTTGGCTTGGAACTGGGAATGAGTACTTTCAGACGTGGTGACTTATGTCTGTTCTGATAAGTAACTCTGTTTTGATGGAGGAATAAGGGTGGCATATCAAGGAGATGTGTACTTGGAATAAGGGTGGCATTGTTATATGTGGATATTATTATTATAACTCTTATTATTATTACTAAATTAGATTTAATAACTTTGAGTCATTATTTCTTTGTGATCTGATAAATTAAAGATATTATTCCTATTTAGAAGTAATAATCTAGATGTTATTGAGAAGGGGAAAATGGTTTGTCATATAAGGCAAGTATTGCCTTAAATCTTTTTGATTATATTAATGGGATAGTTTGATAATTCAAGAAGTGTTAGTATTGTTTCATATTGGAAACAATAAATCTTGAATTAGAAATATTTTATGGAACTGTGATTCTTGAGTTTACATTATTTTGCATAATATTGTAAATTGCTTCAATTATTTGTAAACATTTTGGTGTTCAT